TAGAAATGTGTTAGTGTGTTATGTGTAAGCCAGGTTAAAGAGATGGGTCTTTAATCTAGATTTAAACTGACAGAGTGTGTCTGCCTCCCGAACAACGCTAAGTAGATTGTTCCAGAGTTTGGGTGCTAAATAGGAAAAGAATCTGCCGCCAGCAGTTGATTTTGATATTCTAGGTATTATCAAATGGCCAGAGTTTTGAGATCGCAGCGGACGTGAAGGACTATAATGTGATATGAGCTCGCTCAAGTACTGAGGAGCTAAACCATTCAGGGCTCTATAAGTAATTAGCATGATTTTAAAATGTATATGATATTCAATAGGGAGCCAGTGCAGTGTTGACGGAACCGGGCTAATATGGTCATACTTCCTGGTTCTAGTAAGAACTCAAGCTGCTGCATTTTGGACCAGGTGGAGTTTGTTTATTAAGTGTGCAGAGCAACCACCCAATAAATCATTACTATAATCTAACCTTGAGGTCATGAACGCATGAATTAACGTTTCTGGATTTGACATTGAGAGCATAGGTCATAATTTAGATATATTTTTAAGATGGAAAAATGCGGTTTTACAAATGCTAGAAACATGATTTTCAAAGGAAAGATTGCTGTCAAATAGCACACCAAGGGTCCTAACTGATGATGAAGAATTGACAGAGCAGCCATCAATTGTTAGACAGTGTTCTAGGTTATTACATTTGGAGTTTTTTCAGAATTTAGCAGTAGGAAATTACTAGTCATCCATTTTTTTATATCAACTATGCATTCCGCGAATTGGTATGTTTCGTCAGGCCGTGAAGAAATATAGAGCTGAGTATCATCAGCATAACAGTATCGGTCTGTAGGGCTCATCCAGTTGTCATGGTCTCCACTGACATTTAGGGCTGTTGTAGTTGTCTCTACGTGCTGATCCACCATTTGTTTTGGATACGGACTGGATTTGGGTACCTACGGTGACCATCTGGACTGGATACAGACTGGATCCGTATGGCTATGGTGACCTCAGAATAAGAACGATGCAGACTAATATTAGCATAGGCACCATTTTTCTTACAATGTAACAAGTACATCGGGTGTTATGGGAAGTGTTCCCGGTTCTGGTTGACCTAATTAATGCAGACTAACAATCCTTTAATGAATTTGCATTATAGAAATGTGATCGTGTGTTACGTGTATGCCAGGTTAAAGAGATGGGTCTTTAATCTAGATTTAAACTGAGTGTGTCTGCCTCACGAACAATGCTAGGATGCTCAGACTTTGGGCGCTAATAGGGAACCAGTGCAGAGTTGACAGAACCAGGCTAATATGGTCATACTTCCTGGTTCTAGTAAGAACTCTAGCTGCTGCATTTTGGACCAGCTGGAGTTTGTTTATTAAGCGCGCAGAGCAACCACCCAATAAAGCATTTTAATAATCTAACCGTGAGGTCATGAACGCATGAATTACAATTTCTGCATTTGACATTGAGAGCATATGTCATAATTTAGATATATTTTTAAGATGGAAAAATGCAGTTTTACAAATGCTAGAAACATGGTTTTCAAAGGAAAGATTGCTGTCAAATAGCACACCTAGGTTCCTAACTGATGTTGAGGAATTAACAGAGCAGCCATCAAGTGTTAGTGTTTTAGGTTATTACATGCAGAGGGTATTGGACCAATAATTAGAACCTCTGTTGTTTTTTTATTTAAATTTTTTGTTTGTTTGTTTTTAGAATTTAGCACTAGAAAATTACTACTCATCCAATCTTTTATATCAACTATGCATTCCTTTAGTTTTGTGAATTGGTATACCACGCCGTGAAGAAATATAGAGCTGAGTATCATCAGCATAACAGTGAAGGCAAACACCATGTTTCTTGATGATATCTCCCAGGGGTAACATGTACAGGGTAAAAAGCAATGGTCCTAGTACTGAGCCTTCTGGTACTCAATACTGTACTTGTGATCGATACAATACCTCTTCATTAACTGCAACAAATTGATGACAGATAAGTATGATTTGAACCATCCCAATGTAATTCCACTAATGCCAACATAATTTTGTAGTCTAGTCAAAAGAATGTTCTGGTTGATAGTGTCAAACACAGCACTAAGATCCAGTAGCACTAATAGAGAAATACAACCACGATCGGATGATAAGAGCAGGTCATTTCTAACTCTGATGAGAGCAGTCTCAGTACTATGATACAGTCTAAATCCTGACTGGAAATCCTCACAGAGACCATTTCTCTCTAAGAAGGAACATAGCTGGAAGCACCTATTTTAGTAGCTTAGATGGAATAGGGTCTAACATACATGTTGTTGGTTTTGTTGATTTGACAAGTTTATACAATTTTTCCTCTCATATAGCAGAGAATGAGTGGAATTGTTCCTCAGGGGATCTATAGTGCACTGTCTGATGTGATACTGTAGCTGATGGCTAGAATTTTATCTCTAATAGTATCGATCTTGGAAGTAAAGAAGTTCATAAAGTCATTACTGCTGTGCTGTTGGGAAATGTCTGTATCTGTTGATGCTTTATTTTTCGTTAATTTAGCCACTGTATTGAATAAATGCCTGGGGTTGTGTTTGTTTTCTTCTAAAAGAGACGAAAAGTAAGCAGATCTAGCAGTTTTTAGAGCTTTTCTATAAGTAGAAGTACTTTCCCTCCATGCAATACAAAATACTTATAGTTTTGTATTCTTCCAGCTGCTCTCCATTTTCCGGGCTGCGAGTGTGCTCGTTATGCCACGGTGTCTTAAAATGGAGGTAATCAATCTATGAGTTTTAATTCTTTAAGCGTAAAGGAGCAACCGTATCTAAAGAAAAGAGAGAGTCCAGTCAGTCTTTGAGATCTGCTACTTCCTTTTATTGTTTTAGGCTATCTCTATTTTCTTATCTCAAAATAGTTTGTGTATGTTTCTAAGTTTTCTTATGTTGATTCTGCTTATGTATGATGTTGATTGTTTTGTAATCATGCTGTGGGAGTGGGGGACTGGTTGAGCATGTCTTTTGTTTTTGTATATTTGTGTGTGTGTACATGTTTTGTATAGTTGTTTTGTTTATGATGTAATATTTTGTTTTTGTGTTTATAGGACCCCCTTGAAAATGAGATGTTACATCTCAAGCGGCTATCCTTTCAATAAATTCTAATTACCACCTGTCGTCTGTAATTCATTTCTTAATAACTAATTATTGCCTCTCTCTCAAGTTTTATGTAAATGCATATATATTTTTTTATACAGATTTATATATAGTAAATAATGCACAAATCTGTACATAAATCTTCTGTTCTAGATGTATACCACATTATTTCCTTTTTCCCCCTTAGTCTTACTTATTTAAATTATCTTATGTTCTCAATGTCATATATGTATGTATGTATGTATGTATGTTTGTACCAAGAGCTCCTAAAAAACCACAACAAATTCCTTGTGTGTTTGCACACACTTGGCAAATAAAGCTCATTCTGATTCTGATTCTGCTCAAATAACTTTCAGTGAATGTTCATATTTGCAGGGAATAATCAAAGATGTCTTTTGTTCACACCCACTTTGAGCTGTGGAAATGGGAACCTTCAGTGTTGGGACTATCCTGGCTAACTGCCAGCACTTGGGAGAGATGCCTTAATTGTTGTTGTGCCTGAATAAAAAGGCCATTGGAACAAACACTTCTTACAGTGGGTTCAATGGTCTCCTTGTTCTTCTGACAAAGTTCAGAGAATCGTTTTTTTCCAGTCATAAATTAGCTTCTCTGTGGATGAAGACTTTCTGTGGGGTTCAGTTCTGACAGATTCTGGCTGGTGATTCGTTTAATGGAAGATCAAGGAATTTGTTGTGGCATAAATTGTGGTTAACGCTGAAAACAAACAGGTTCACTGCCAAGTAGAGGCAGCTTTATTTCATGTTTATGCCTTTTTAGGTTTTATAAAGAGCCTTGGAGATTGCCTGATCCTTTAAGAATCCAAACTGTTTGGATTTGTTGCAGGTGGATGGCTTGGTGCGGTCAATGGAGATGCCACAGAAACAAGTCTGGCAGAGAAACGTGTAAACAACACCGGAGCTGATTTAAATTCAACTCAAGTCAATGAGACACCAAGAAAGGTGAGTCACCATGTCTGAACGTCATTCCTTTTTAGCAGTGCTTTGCTTTCTTGCAAAAATGCCAGAGATTGATATCAGTGCTAATTAAACAGCTTGATCCCAAGATCTCTGGAGACACTGAGGAACTCCTCAATCTTAAAATCATTTAAATGAGTGCACTGACTGAATGTTGTCAATATTTTACAAGCAAGATGACATTTCTAGTTTTTTTTTTAAATGTGCATTATCATCTATAATGGTGTAGATCCAAGGTGTTCAATTATGTATCCTTGAAGGTACACTAGGGAATTAGTGGAGAAGTTACATGAAAAATTAATGTAATTTCTCACTATTAACACATTTTTAACTAATGATTTGTTAAGAAAGTGTTGTTATTGTTAACTAAATAAAAATGTTATTGGAAATATTACATTAAAATTATATAAAACTATCACATAAAAAATTTAGAAATGCAACTAATTGAAAAAGTATGTTGAATATGTAAGTACTAAAATTACTAAAACTTAAAAATAAATTAAAGCTAAGTAGAACACTGACAAAAGCACATAACAAAATGACTAAAACTTAAACAAAAATTAAAGGGATAGTTAACCCAAAATGTAAAATTTTGTTATCATTTACTCACCCTCATGTTGTTCCAAAACTGTATGAATTTCCTTTTTCTGTTGAACACAAAATAAGATACTTTGAAGAATGCTGGTAACCAAACAGTTGCTTGTAGCCATTGACTTACATAGTATTTTTTCCATACTATGAGAGTCAATGGCTACCACCAACTGATTAATATTAGTCATTTTATGTAAATTATATAAATAAGTACTGTAATATTATAAAAATACTACTGGCTAAGCATTAAATAAATCTTAATAAAAGTCATTATAAAGTGGAATACTCCTGGTGTTGATGACCTCCTCAAGACAGAAGGCAATTAATTAGAAGTAACCAAATAAGTGCTATCCTATGTTATCTGTCATTGTCTACAGCAGCATTGCAGAAGGATCTTTGCAACAATTGTTTGCTCGAGAGAGAAGTTTAGTGAAGCAAATTTCCCCCCATGAGGAATCCTGGGAAATTCAAAGTTGTCTGTATTTCACAGCCAGTATGTGACACTAGAGTGTCTGCTTTTGTGTGTTCTCCTCAGGTGGACTCACTTGTAAGTGAGGGTCAGTCTCAGCTCACGTCCTGCCTTGATCAGCCGAGTGCTATTACCTCATCAGCCAAAGTGTCCTCTTCATATCCCCCCACCAGCAGCGGCAACCCAACAATTGTCCTGCTGCAGCACAGCAGAGGTAAATAACAGCCTCTCAATACTTCAGGTGGGATCAAAAGTAAAAGTATCATGTGCATTAAAAAGCTAAATGCTTTCATGATATAGAAAGAGAAACGATATAGAATGTTCTCTCCCTTGTGATTAGTTTGTTTGAGTTAAAATTACCATAAGACGTCTGCAATTTCATGTACTGGACAGGATCTCTGTAATTATTAGTTGGGAGTGTATGGTTATGGGAGTGGAGATTAAACATTTTGTATAAAATGTGAACTACTGTTCGAAATTTGGGCTCTTTAAAACGATTCTTTAAAAAAAATTCTATACAGCAGGGACTCAATAAAATTGAATTCATAATAAAGGTGCATCAGTCAGTGCCACGGGAAATGTAGTTACGGTATTCAACAATAGTCAAAATAAACGAGGAGAAGGTTTGCAAGAAAAAACATGTTTGATTCCAAAGGGATTAAAAACACAAAGTACATCTGTCAAATGCAAATATATCTGACCTTCTTAGGAAAAACAATTGCCGTTCAAATAGGGCTGTAGCCATGATTTATTCATTTAAACATGAAATCATTCAGTGATCCTTTTAAAGATTTTGTCCTAGATAAATGTCAGCTGAAAGCACCAGGCCAGTGTGTATTTTATCTTGTGTTCTGGACGTTTATGATCTGAGTGTGTGTTTCAGAAGCTGTGGCGGAGCAGGGCGGTGGCACTAATCGGAGCCCTACCGTCAGCCAGAATAAATCTTCCTCTGAGACTCCAGCAGACATGGAAGGAAAGAGAATGAGACTGTCTGAACATTCAGCTGTCCCGGCACCCAGAGTCCCAGTACGGGTAACAAACAGCCACTTCTAGTTCTCAAGATACACCTGTGCAGACTTTGACTACATAACTATATCCAAAAGCTTTTATAAATAAAACACCATCTGTACAATTTTCTCTTCTAGAACACAGAGCTGTCAAAGGACTGGTACAGAAACATGTTCAAGCAGATTCACAAAGTCCCAGGTAAAGATGCACCTTGGGAATCACATGCAATCAACACTTTTATTTCATCTTTTTGTGTGTCCAAATCTGAATATGTCCAGGTCACATTTCAGTCATGTATCTATGTTTGTATTCATCTTTGTCAGTGTGTGTTTTGTCTTTCACTCACCTTACTCAGAGCCTGTCGAAGAAAATCCATATCGTCCCACCTACATATTTCCAGAGAGCAATGACAGGCCACTAAAAACCAGAGGTACCTTAGTAATAGTTATAATCTGATATTTACCGGTATTAACATTCCTCCATGTCACTCTTTTCTGTCTGTCATTTAGCAACACATTTATCCCTGTGTATGTATTGGGTAATTTTATATACAGTTCATGAAAACCAAAATAAAAAGGATATACACTGCTGTTTAAAAGTTTGGAGTCGACAAGATTTTTAAAATGTTTTTGAATTAAGTCTCTAATGCTCACCAAGGCTGCATTTAATTTGATCAAAAATACAGCAAAAACAGTAATATTGTGAAATATTATTACAATTTACATTAACTGTTTTCTATTTTAATATATTTTAAAATGTAATGTAGCCATAATGTAATGTAATGTGCTTTTTTTTAATATGCTGATTTGCTTCTCAAGATACATTTCTTATTATCAATGTTGAAAACAGTTGTACTGCTTAATATTATTGTGCATACTATTGTCTTCTCAGGAGTAGAAAGTAATAAAATACAGCATTTATTTGAAATATAATTTTTTGTAACTAAATAAGTGTCTTCACTGTCACTTTTGATCAATTTAGTGCATCGTTTTCTGAATTAAAGTATAAATTTATTATTATATTCAATTAGCATTTCTTTAAGAAAAAATCTCACTGTCCATTCTTTCACAAATCTCAACCTGCAATAGATACTGATTTATATGTACACAGTGTCAACAAATTGATTGTCCTAAAGAGGCATCATAGCACTCAAGGTGAGCTGTGGAAATAGAGCTATTTTCAGCACACTGAGAAAATCACATCACCATGTATTTAAAACTCATAGATTGATTACCTCCATTTTAAGAGCTTTCATACCTCTGTGATGTGTTTTGTGGCTGTGCTTTTAGTGAACCATTCTGCTGAATTATTAAAGCAGTCACAACACACCTAATGGGGTTTGTGTATCCATTGGATTCTTTAGAATACACAGTTAGCAATGCCATTCCAATGCTGGTCTCAAGTATTTGTTAAATAATCATCATTGAAATGCCTCCTTTCAGTAGATTGCGGTGAAAATGTTTTACTTGTACTGTAACTTCGCAGCTAATGGAATATTCCAGCATCAGAAAAACACACCGCTGTGGTTATAGTACCATCTACTGGTTGGATTGGTCTGTGGAAATAAAGTGGCCTTGTCTTGGAGCTGCTGTTTAGTTGATAATGGACTGCTATATATGTCACACTAATCCCTGTAATTTTCACCTAGTATATATTAGATGTTTTGAATACCTCCCAAAGTTGCTGCTTTAGAGCACAGGCTACACTAAGTAGAGCACAATAAGAAAACAGGTTACAAACTACCTTAGGAATACATTTGAAATGTGAAATAAATATAATATATTGTAAGTTTCACAAAAATATGTCAGCTGTATTGCTTCATTGCTCAGTATTAAGTTTTATTTGTGCCTAATAAGTATTTTCTGACTCTTTCAGATGACAGGCCATCATATGGTGGTGAGGATGGTAAGTGTTTTAGTTTTAATCCTGTGAGAGAAAATAAAAACTACACAATTCTTATTTAAAGGAAAGCTGTGTTTCAGTGCGGGCAGTCCCTCGTTCCAAGAGTGCTGTAGACATGGGGAGCTCCAGAGGACAGCTGCCTGTGCCAACACGCACATCTTCCCTAAAACCTCAGAGGTGAGCCGTGACACTATGAAACAAATAGAATGATTTCTGAAGGAGATTCTAGCACATTTATTGACTGATGTCCTGAAACTTTCGTATTACGGTGTGAATTCTTGCACCATGCTAGTGTTGCTCAACATAGAGATGATGACATTTCTTCACAAAACCTCAATATGTGCAACATTGTATTTTAGCATTTGTCATGCTGCATTAACAAGCATGTGTTGGCTTAGGAGATGTTGCTGTTTGCTGCTAAAATTAATAATAGATACCCCTTTCTTTCAGTCATCAGTGTTCACTAGCAGAAAAGTCATTACCATAAAGTGTCTTTACCTTGAATCTTTGTAGATTACTTTCGGTTTTATATATAAATTCAAAATCTAAATTAAAACTGGGGATAAACAAGGTTTTTAGCATTTTGACAAATTTTAAACACAAAACCATTTAATGACATTAAATGAATAAGACATTTTTAAGATTCTGCACTATTTGTGGAGAACATGGATCATCAAGATTTGCACAAATAAAGAAATTCTGAAATTTTTCAGGATTATTTGATGAATAGAAAGTCAGAAAGAACAATGTTTATTTTAAATATAAATATTTTGTAATATTATAAATGTCTTTAATGCATTAAATTTATCAAAATAAAAAAGTAATGATGCCGAATAAAAAAAAAAAATCTTATTCATCCGATCCCAAACTTTTGAATGGTAATGCACAATAATGTTAAATATAGCATAATTATTATATTATGGATATTTTTAAAATGTTTAAATTTTCACTTGAATTATTGAACTAATGTTAAACTGTGCTTTGTGTTTATTTTTCTAGGTTAATGTTTATTCTTATTTATTTTTAAAGTTAATTAGTTTATTATGAACAAACATGAATTAATAGTATAAACAGTAGCACATTTATATACCTATATATAAATAAACTGTTGCTATACTAGTGTTATTGTTATAATATTTATATAAATTTATGTAATTTATTTATATCTATTTATATAAATGAACATAGATCACAATGCAGATTAATAAACTGTTAAAAACTGATATTAATTGTTAGTTCATGGTACCTAGTACATAAAGTCTCAAAGATCTGAGATGTATTGTAAAGTACTTTGTAATAGTTTATAATGGAATATTGTGTTAAATTACAGTTATACAAAATAGGTAACTGAACACATGTTGGTGTAGATTGGTTAGATGATTTAAGTGCTTACATGTATGTATGTATGATGTGTTTTTAAAACATAAGCTGCATGTATGGGAACGTACAGCTAAAACTTGCCCTTGCTGGTTGCCATGGTGACTCTCCACCACCCTTGCTGTATCACTCCATCTCTCCCCTCATGCATCCCTGCAGGAATGAGTGGGAGCCCCCTGACAAGAAAGTAGACACCAGGAAGTACCGCGCCGAGCCCAAGAGCATATTTGAGTACGAGCCAGGAAAGTCCTCAGTGCTGAAGCTAGAGAGACCGGTATGATGCTCTTTATACATGCATGTTTGTTTACTGGTGATGGTGGTGCAGACCTGTGCATGTCGTTTGATGCTGCAAGAGCTGTATTCTGCCTGTTTCACTTACAAGGACTGCACACTCACAGCTATGTGTCTTGATAGTGATCTTAAGTGACCTCGGTAGGTGACTTGTATTGGTGACCCTTTTCAATGTTGTGATACATAGCTTATATATCTTGTGTGTTGATGCACACATTATATCTTACAGTAACGTTAGAATATAGGAAGTAGGAGGACCCCTTACTCAAAAAGATCATCAATAAGTGACACTTGTAGTGTCCAGACTTAGTTAAGAATAGAGGCTCTTGCAGGGGCTTGTATGTGCCTGCAGTCTGGTCTTTTTAATGGAAGGTTTGTTACTATGACATTCAGTGATTCAATCTTGTTAGCATGACTCATTCTGGGAGCTGCTGCTATTACATAATGTCTTTCTGATGACATACCACTGTAATAAGTTTATTGTAGAAGTAAAGCAAAGCATGTTTGATCTTCGTCAATGAAACAGCTGAAGCAGAGAAAGTGCGGGCTGCATTAGGTCTTTCGTTTTTCCCTCATTGTTAGGGAAAGTAATTAAAATGGCCCTAGGTCAGGTCCTATCTAGGGCAGAAGATAATGTGCTGCCTGTGTCTATTCATTTGATTTAGCTCTGCAGAAACAGTCCATCATTATTGTGAAAATTCTGTGTTGTGAAATATTTAAATTACATTTAAATTATATGTGCACTACCGTTCAAAAGTTTGGGGTTGATAACAATTTTTAAATGTTTTTTAAAGAAAATGTATTTGATGATATAGTAAAAACAGTAAATATCTAAAATACTATTATAATTTTAAATAACTTTTTTTAATTTCAAGATATTTTAAAGATAATTTATTCCTGCAATGACATTACTCCAGTCTTCAGTGTCACATGATGCTTGACATGATCCTTATTCCTTTAAAATGTATAAAGATTTCAATAGAAATTTTTTGTAACATCATAAATGTATTTACTGTCACTTTTGATTAATTTAATGTGTATTTGCTGAATAATAAAAAAAAACTTACTGACCCCAAACATTTGAATGATAATGTTAAATTTAGCATTATTATTGTATTACAGATATTTTTTAAGTACAGCAAATATTTTTTTTTACAAACATCAATGCAAAAATATTGATATTCATAGCAGAAGGATAAAATTTGCATTTTGAGTATGTGAATATGTGTTTATTCCCCTTATTCACTTGTTATACAGTGTAAAAGATTTCTCCCTAGCTCTAATGGATCCCTTTCCATCATCAGGACTTTGCCTTTATGAGATCTTTATTTCCTATTTCCTGTTCCTTTGACTGCTGAGATCAACCAGATGTTCTTGCAATAAGTCATCAAGCTGGAAACAAATCCAATTCATGTTTCCTCCACTCTCTCAGCCTGGAGCCTTTCTTACTGTCTGAGATTATGACATTAAGAGATAATTCATGTAACATCATCATTCAGTCTCATTGTATATCTCATTCATATTCTGAGTCGTCCTCTCTCTCTCTCTTTCTCTTTGTCCTTCTTTCCTTGTTGCCATATTTCTGTAGACTCAGGACATAAGTCCAGAAGATGTAGATTTAGAGAATGAGCCTTGGTATAGGTTCTTTTCTGAAATGGAGTTTGACAAAACGGTAAGTTGGCAGTATTAAAGTGACCCATTTTTATTTTTAAAAAACCTGCATGTCATCCCTTTTTTTTTTCGTACAGGACCCAAAATATTTTTTATGTCTGTCTATTCCATTCTTACGTCACTTCCTGACTGCACTGACCATTCATATGTTTGTTCCTTATCCAGCCCATTGTAGTTGAGTGCAAAGCAATACAAAAACAATACAAAAGTAGTAACGGAAGAGCTCCTCTGAATGTGCTTCAGAAGCTGCATCAGAGATGCTAAAAGAAATGGTAAACAGTACAGTCGATCATGGCAAACACCACCTCTCAGTTTGCCAGCATGCTTTCTGATCATAATCCACAATCTGCCTGAACCTTTTTTCACCATCTTTTGCATCTCATATTTGTCTTTTCTGACTGTAATTGAATCTCAGTATTTTATCTTTTGCACTGTGATAAACATTAAATTGGCATCCGATTTGCATTTGGGGTTCGTTCGACAAAAAAATTCTGCAGCCTGTGCCTCTAGGAAGCTCTCATCTTTTTTTGAGACCCTGCTATTTAACTGGCAGTAATTCTGGTGTTGGCACAGATGACTGAGAAGGTTTTCAGTTTTATGGAGTGCCCAGACTGGAAACAGATAGCAAGCTATGATGCTGCAACTAGCTTGGTAAAGACGACAGACTCAACATTAGCCAAACTCTTTCCCCTGTGCTTAACCCTGTTGCCTGTTTTCAGTAGCATTGCCTGGCAACATTGACTGAAAAGTTGGCCTCTGCATCATCTACTTATTGGTTGTCAGATTTGCTCCATCCACCTAACTAATGTGAAAGTACATAACATCCTGCCAGAAACTATCCGCTCATGGCAATTATATTTTTGCAGTGTAAACTTTTTGTCTGACCATGACTCAGTAAGTAAAGCACTGTAAATTAGCACTGATGGCGTGCTGTCACTGGGTTCAGTGAGGGACAGGAAGGCCGTCGCTATGCTATCAGTGGCACAGAGCCTGTGCAGCGTTGTCATCAACTCAACACCTGGGAGTAAAAAGGCACATTCGTTCACACTTATTTGCTTGGAGACACGTACCATGATACACCCCAAGGTGATTGGGTTGTTTACCAACTCACTATGATTGCTTTTAGGGCTGGGGATATAACTAAAACATAAGTAATTTTAAATAACCTTTTAACCTTTTGATATTTATATACTATAAAAATGTTTTTAGTTTTTTTTATGCAAAATGAAAGTTTTTATTCAGCATGGACACATTAAATTGATCAAAAGTGACATTAAAGACTTTTACATTGTTAAAAAAATGCATTTCTTTTTAACTTTCTATGCTGAAAAAAAAGCAACATTGATAATAAAAAAATAATAAATTGAGCACCTAACCAGTATATTAGAATAAAATAGAATTAGAATGAAATAAAAAGGATCATGTGACACTGAAGACTAGAGTAAATGCTGTTGAAAATTCAGCTTTGCCATCACAGGTATAGATTACAATTTAAAATATATATTATTAAAATAGAAAACATCTATTTTAAATTGTAATAATATTTCACAATATTACTGTCCATGCATGCATCCTATTTGAATGGGATGTATGACATGTCTTTAGAATTGGTTCTTCTGACAGTGAAACCAAATCCTTGAGTCACAGGCTGCATTCCTGATGGATAGACTCATAAATCTGACTATCAGCGTCATGGCACAAGTTTAGAAAAGGTTTACTTGTATAGAGACGAAAGTGAGGAGAGTCACTTTCCTTGAGAGCGGGTGTCTCACTGAGTCAGAGTCTGCTGATGCGAACCAGTCTCACTGTGTTTATGATGCAATGCTGAAATAGTCTTAGTTTCTTATTGGCTTAGTAGGATTCCCATAAAAATTCAGCTGTAAAAATAAAATTAAGCACATTTCTAAAGCTTTGTAAACACTCTCATGAAATGTGTTAGTATTAGAAATATTAACAACAGTATCCATCATATATACCAGCTTAAGTCTTAAAGCTCTGAGACTGTGGTCACAGAAAATCCCAGCAATAGACTTGTTGAGCTTGTTGACTCCTAACTGGGGGCAACTTTAAGTATGAAGCTGCATGTGTGTCTGTCTTTAAGTGGGTCGAAGGTCATTGGAGACTGTATGTGACCTGACTTCCTCAGTGATTGATACCCCAAAGTCTAGTGACAAACACAGTCAGTCCGTCTCCTACTGATCCTGTGTTTACCATCATATGGAATGAGAAATATGTACTGCACCAGAAGTCCATATCCACTATGTGCTTGTTCAATTAGAGACAACAACATTCCTGTGTAGAAGATGTGCTTTGATAATAGCAGTGTATCAAAGAATGCGTATAAAGTTATACTTTCATTAATGGACACATAAGCCCCATTTGTTCATGTGGTTAAGTTGCGCGGCACCTCACTCACATTGTATGCTATTTATATAACAGAAAAGTTGTAAATTTTCTTGAGTCATCTCCTGCACCTGTTTGGAAACTAGCACATGAAAATGAACAAACATTATTAACACACCGTTCCACTGACTAGCCTTAACAGTCAGGGGAAAGGATTTAACATCCTAGGAAATACTATGGTAAACATCTCTTGATCTTTATTATGGCCTCTTTTGGAAAAGCAGCTAGAACTATGAGGCACATAAGCTAGAAAAACTTATACCATATATGATTTAATTTAAAAACAGGTATATAGACATTGCTGAAAAAAAAGAAGAAAATAACTTTAAGTTGTAGTGATAAATGCTTTCAGCACATTGTGGCTTGTGGCATTGTGGCACATCACCAAAAAAAAATAGAATTCTGTCATCATATACTCACCCTTATGTCATTCCAAACCTGTATGACTTATTTTATTTTATTTTGTTTTGTTTTTAACAGAATTTTCATTTCTGGGTGAACTATGCCTTTTAAGGATAGATTCATTGTACATAAAGGCCTACATACTGAAATTATAACCTGTATACCCCGATGTGACAAATGGGACATGTACTACCAGATAAGACGATGGAAAAATCTATCTCAGCATTATTACTTCCTGAGATGTCATTTCCTTTAAAGTAAAATACCTTATATGAGAAATGCTATTTCAGTTGGCATTTCAAACAACGTAAGGCTTTGAAACCATATCCTCAGTGACATACTGTCCACGTCACTTTCACCCACCATCTCCGTGGGTCATGTCAAGAATGTCAAGTACTCATCTTAAATCTCACTTATAACAGTTCTGACTTTACTGCGGTGGTTAAGTTTGTGAGTCTGTTTCCTGTAAACTCAAGGGCCATTTAGTCATCCGCACAGTTAAGTATAAACAGAATCATCTTTTTAGTATGTTTACATGTTTTTTTTATACCATAATACTTTAAGAACACTTCTTTTTGTTCACTTTTTGTGCTGTCAGATACAGTATACAAGGCTTCCTGTACTTTATAATGCCAGCAACAGTGTTAATATAATACTTAATTGCATAATTTCACTTTCTTATCATCTCATCTCAACAGCTGCATCACACTAAGGTATTGTACTGGCTGTCACATATCCTCAGTGACATACTGTGCACGTCACTTTCACCCACCGTCTCCGTGGGTCATGTCAAGAATGTCAAGTACTCATCTTAAATCTCACTTATAACAGTTCTGACTTTACTGCGGTGGTTAAGTTTGTGAGTCTGTTTCCTGTAAACTCAAGGGCCATTTAGTCATCCGCACAGTTAAGTATAAACAGAATCATCTTTTTAGTATGTTTACATGTTTTTTTTATACCATAATACTTTAAGAACACTTCTTTTTGTTCACTTTTTGTGCTGTCAGATACAGTATACAAGGCTTCCTGTACTTTATAATGCCAGCAACAGTGTTAATATAATACTTAATTGCATAATTTCACTTTCTTATCATCTCATCTCAACAGCTGCATCACACTAAGGTATTGTACTGGCTGTCACAAGTATTTAGATTAAGATGCGTGCCACTTCAGATAAGGCTTTCACGCATGCTTCCTGTTTGCTTATTCTTCGCATCTGTGCCAAGTCTCGTGCGAAAGCCTCTTGGGATGCTGAGCCGGCTGTTTTTTAGAGAGAAGAAAAATGGACAAAAATACTAGAGGTCGCTTTGCACACGTAATAGTGGATTGATATGTCACTGGGTGAAACAAAACTTCTAGAACATGATGCTGTATAAATAGAGCAATATATACAAAGCCTGTATTCATTCGCGAAGGTTATTCGTGATCCTCTTTACCCCAGCAACCAATGGGATGAACATGTTGCGGTCAGGTGTTGAACTTTTCTTCTGTCAGTCACAAGAGGGGGTCGTGGGGTGCTGGCACTCATGTGGCATGCCTCTAAAGGGACAGTGGCAGACTGGGATTGTGCAATCGTATTTGCAAACATCACTTGGCTTTTTTCTTCCGAGGTGTGCTGTCACGCTATTTTTACCATCTGTGACGTGCACTTGGGGAAAAGCAACAGAAACAGCAGCCTAAAATTAGACGCCTCCAAACCATTCAAAATGAAAGAAGGACTACAGGCCGCCCCAGCGAATGGCTCTCTCTTATCTGCCGTCAGGAGTTGCTGCCCGGCAATAACAGCTGCTCTCCTTATTGGCTTGACGCACACAGTGCTGGGTAGATTACTTTTAAACTGTAGTCTGTTACTGATTACAAATGACATGATGGAAATTGTAGTCTGCAGTGTAATTTATTACGTTACACATTTTAGATAATATAATACTACTTTTAATTACTTTTAGATTACTTTTGACCTAACTTGTTGATCACAGATTTGAATAGGATTATTGTGTACCACATTATTTCTTTTATTATCAACAGGGGTGAAGTGCATTAAATGTCAGAGTTTTCCAAACTGGGGTTTGTGAAGTAACTGCAAGGGGTTCGTGATTTATGAAAAGCTAATTCATTAAATCATAAAAATGTAAACTTTAAGAAAAATAAATGCTTTTAAAATAATAATAAAAAAAAACCCTGAACACTAAAAATAGAAATATTTCATTTGTTTACCTGCATGTCAGTGTGACCATTAACCGACATCAGAGAACTGTAACATGCAAATGTGTTGTTAGATTATAATATTAAAAATTGAATTCTCGCAGGGGATTCAGGTAAATATTTTAGCTTAAAAAATGTATGAATATGTATAAGCATTTAAAAATGTATATTATCGAATTATAAGTATTTCAATTTTAGAATCTGATATGTAATGAGATTACATGTATTCAGTTACTACCCAGCACTGGATGCCCGTTATGTGAACTTCCTTTGATGTACTATTAATATCGCCCTGTGATTTTGTATAGCATGTTCGATCCAACACTCGTGATATTCTTAATACATGTATGTAAATCTATTTGTGTGTGTGTCCGCGTCTGCCCATGTAATTTGGCCTGCTTCCCACACCAGCTGGTTAATTGTCTCTGTGTCTGGCCGGCCAGTAATGAGAGTGACTCAATAGAAGACAAAAGAGAGCCTCGGTGAGAGACAGCAGCTGATTGGTGGAAGCGCTGACAGCCCCCTCCCAAAATGGGCGCCCCCGCTAATCCCACCCCTCGCTCCCAGTCGCTTGTTTTCCCCCCCTAACTTGCATGCAGGCCAAAATACTTGCTTACTTCTCCACGCTCGGCTTCGTCCGGAGGACCTAAGAGTTTCAGAGCTTTGGATGCGGCAGACGTTCGCAAGCTTGACTGACTAATGCGCCTTCTCCCTTTCCAGCTGCCAGAGAGTCAAGCCTTTGGAGCTATCAATGACTTCTTTGTTTGGTTTGTTGCAGAGTGCCCCCTCTTTCAGCCCCTTGGAAACATCTTCTGACCTACAGCAATAGTAAGTCCATGTATTTTGGATGTGGAGTGTATTGTTTTATCAAAAGCCACATGGTTCAGTTATAAACCAGGAGGCCAACTAGTGTTCAGCCAAAACACTAAACCGAAAATATGCTCTCATGACTTGAGGAATGTGTGCGAGACAAACCCTGTGTAAGTGTAACCCTGAGAGAAACATAGTTCTGCTTTATGGCTAACAGATCCTTGACAAGGAGCCGAAAAGCATGAAAATACTTTACTCGGCTTTACTAATGGTCAGATAAATCTGCTAAGACCATCTCTGCTCCAGCAGTTGTCAGGCAGCTGCTCAGGTTCCTGAGTTTGGAGCCAGTGGCGTCTGGAATGACGTGTGTTCACCTCACACTTCTCCAGCGGAAAGCATCCGATACATCCCTGGAGTGATGTCATTCATGGAGACTTTATTATATGTATGATGGAATAATTCATAAAGCAGGAGTCACAAGAACAGTGTCTTGTTCGCACACATCATTTTTGTTGAATAATGGGTATTTTATTGTTTCCAACTATGAAGAAGTAGGAAAGTATGCTAGGGCCCTTAGGATTTTATTGGCATGTTGAGTAGTAACTGTTAATATGATTCTCTCCGAAACAGAGCTGCCGATGTGTAGGACCATTGTCTGTGCATTTAAAATCCTTGTCATGGTTAAAATTCCCTCCCAAATCACTTAGCATGTCTCCCATGTGAGTCTGTTGTGTTAACCCTGCTGAAAAAAACAAATTAAGGTCTTCTTTGGACTGTCAGGCTGGTCTGGTTTAGGGTTTTGAGCACTTGTGAGCTGATCAGACTGTGAAGACTAACTAGACCAATTTAAACCAAATAAGATCATCAGACACTTTTGTTTTTCAGCAGAGAATAGTGTTAACAAGGCCTTACTGAACTCTAGACAGGCCATTTTATCACTTTATTGCATACATCAAAGTGCCATATTTGATAAGTAAGCATGATATACTTAAATTTTTCCTATACAAACATGTAAAAATTATACAGAGTGACTACAGCTCATTGTATGGGAAGACCGGACACAAGAAAAGTTATTAAAGGTGCGCATCCCTAAAAACTTCTGTATGGTTTCCTGCAAGCACATACTGAAGGTTTAAATGCTAAGGTTCTAACTGCTACATGTGGAAAGCTTCAAGCATGTTTTTTAAAGGATGCCACACAGGCCTCTGAGGAATGTTGTGATAAGGGCCAGAGCAGCTGGTGCTGTCTCATCTATATCAAAGAGCAAACACAGGCTGACTAAAAAGTTCTCAGACTGTTTTAAATTGTTTGGCCTACATCGCAAGTAAATTGAATATTCATATATTTTTTTAAAATCAAGAATTAATTCTTTTTTATTTCTTTTTTAATTCGTATTTTTTATTTATTTATTAATATTTATTAATTTAAAGTGTATACTT